GGAATCTCACCCTTGTAACACTAGGGAAGAATAATGGATGATAATACAAATTTGTCTCACTGTTTAATGTCTGCTGTCATGTTCCAATGGAGTGCCCTGGCTAACACAACTGGTCTGTGTAACACAGTTACTAATACCAATGGTGTAGCTCTGATCTCTTGCATAATGTTCTGGGTGAATGAGGTGGAAAATAATGGTGTCTAAAGCATTTAACTGCAAGCTGCAGTTTGGGTTTTTTGAGTGAAATAGTTCATGGAAAACACTGTGCTTCTAGTCCGTTGCTTTCTGGTGTTTCAGAATGTCACTGGTTCCAAGTGTCTGGCAGTGAAAGGCAACAATGATGGAGAGAAAGTGTATTTGGTGAAAGAAGTCTTGACTATAGTGTAGTCTGTGATAAAATGTTGACTTCCTTCTTAGTTGGGAGCTGCAGTGCTGTGGAGTGGTAAGCATGTGCTCAGAATACTGAAGGATAGTGCTGGAAGAGTGTTTTTCCAAGGCCATAGCCAATGGACTTCAGCTTAATTGGAAAACTGCATAACGTGGAATTGCTAAAGCATTTAAACATCACTTTTTCAGTGACTCCTCTGATGGAAGGGGCAAGGGAACAGGAAGCTCAGTTCTAACAGGATAACCAACCTTTTAGATGATGAAAAATGTAGATCCTGTGCAAATTCAGCTCAACTGAACGGCAAGTTTAAGGCTGGGTAGTTGCTTTTTTTTAAAAATAGAATATGAATTATAACTGCCTGAAACTCTGGGAAAGATCTGGGAAACCATGTGTAATGGTCCTAGTTTGCTGTTTACAGCCAATACTGTACAAGCTTTCTCACTGAAGTCTGAAAGGAAAGTTAAGGTTCTTGATAAATTAACATACAGCCTGAACTGTTTGTTAAACTTAAAAGCAACTAACTTCAGCAAATTTGATCATTTTAAAGTGCCTTTGAGATTAGTTTCCTTCCAGCCAACTCGAAATAGCTTTCTGCCAGAGTTAAAGGGGAAGAGCTTACAACTTAAACCAAAACCCAAGTGAGGTCTCTTCTAGCTCTTCAACTAAAGAGGCTGACCCCACCAAACAGCTGGTGGGGCTCAATCCTTTTTAGGCTCTCTGCCTAGGATTGGTCTGAACTCCCAGACCTCTGAAATTTCTTCTTTTTGGGGGAGTGGGAGTTTTGCTGGTACTGTTCCACTGCAGGGTACAAATGTGAATGGAGGCACTTGGTAATGTAGTAGTGGTCAGCACATTTCTAACTCCATAAACAACTGCTCTTCCTTCTTGTAGCATTACAATTGTGACCAAAAACCCCCAGCCCTCTTACCCCCGCTGTCTTTAAGTGGTATCGATTAACTTGAGGCTCAAATCTGCCAAGCATTGAACAAAAGGCTGTATGGAAAACAAACTGCCATCCCTGGGAAGTGATGCTGTCAAACCAGGCTTCAGGCACTTCAGCGGGGCTGCACGGGAAGTCTTGTGGTGGTTCATACTGTAGCTTTTTGTTCTGAGACTGGATTCCTTCTGCTTGCAGTCATCCAGCGCTCTTACGCAAGCACAAAACGTGGTCTGGCTTAAGTTTTAATTTGTGTGTCTCTGGAAAAGGTGTAGTCGCTGTTTCACACCACTAAGTGGAGTGCGAAGGTTGGTGTGGAAGGTACTAACAGAGCATAGCAAGTTGCTGGCTAAAAGCCGACAGATGCCTTAATGACTTCCTGTGCTGGAGATCAATGGCTTGTACTTCTCACATAGTGCTTATAGTGTAACAACATGGGAGGCCAAGGCTGGATTCTTTTTTTTGTAGCTCAAACATTAATATACAAGTCCTCTTTTTTTTTTTTCCCCTCTTGTAACCAGCAGAGTTGGGTACTGCAGCAAACTCATCTCTAGAAAAATCAAAGCTTATATGAGTGACAAAAATAACTCTGAACCTTCTCATACCCTCTGTGAAATAGAAAAGGAAGTCTTAGAACAATGGCATTTTATCTGCAATGTTTGTCTGGAGTCATTGTAAAAATGTATTTTTACAATATGCATTACTTTGTTGTGTAATGATTCTACTTGTAATAAAATGCATAACTAGATAATGCAGCGTGAGGTGGAAACCTTGTTCAGAAAGTACCTTCTGTAGAGACAGCAGCCCTGCTGCAAGCTGTCCTTTACAAGCCACAAGGAAAACTAGGGATATAACATTTACTTGGCCATGACAACTTTGTTCTGAAATCATCCCAGGTATTTCATTTTAATGCTGTGGAACTGCTACAACTGTTCTTTTGGCTGACAAGGTCTGGTGTTGATACCATATAGTCATCTTGAATGCCTGACATGAGGCTTATCTATAATCATTCTTAGGAAACAATCCTCACTTCCTGCAGGCCAGAGCCGGTTCAGGGAGTGAATCAGTTCTCAGCTCAGATGGATTATGGATGAGCTGAAGTAACAAATGGTTTGTACGTTCAGTCATATACTGGGGGGGCAGCTCAGCCTCCTCGAAGAGCAGGTCACTGCTGGAGTTTCACTTCAGGGAAAGGAAAGCTTCAGTGCAATAGCAAAACTGACCAAAACATCTTGGTGAGATTGTGGCACATTAATCTTTTACTAATAAAACTTACTAAAGTACAGATGAATGGTGAGCTTTATTAGAGCGCTCTCTAGTTTTGACTCGACCCCTGTATAAATATCACTATTTTCTTCTCCCCCTGTTCTACCATGGGAGAACCTAGCTGAGCTTTTAAATTAGAGTAGAAACAAGATAATCTCAGAGGACTTTAGGTCAGTGAGGGCATCTCCTTGTTTGCTTTCATAGATAACTTATTTCTAGTGCAAGACAAACTTTTTTTTGTCCCTAGTCTTTCCAAACACTAAACTGAGGAATAAGCTGTGAATTGGTTTTTCAACCAACTTTTAACTTAAAGTAACACCATCCCCTTTTGCCTTCCTGTGTGATTTTTGTGTAGCTCTTAAGATCAAAACCATCCCCTCAGCATTTCAGTGCTGTTTGCACAGCATTCAAGCATAGGGCGAGATGAAACTTGCTTAGAATGGTGTAGCTGATACACCTTCCCTAGGACTGCAACTCCTGCCATTTACTTGCCCTTATAAATGACTTTTTACAGTATTTAATAATCTGGAATCTGCAGCAACTTTTAAATTTATCTTAAAGACACTTGCCAATCATTTTTGGGGATGGTTGGACCAGTAAATGCAAGTTGTTCTTAAAGAAGTGTCCAAAAGCAAATGACCACTAAATTGTTGCTTTGCAGCTCTTCCCTGCAGGTTTTACCCAGCTGTATGTTTAGGATTGTTATGTCAAGTCAGTAGCCCACTTCAGTCCCAAAGATGGCACAAAGGCTGAGTTTCAGTTCCAAAAGTGTGACTGGGGACTTGAGCACTATGTGATGACTCTGCTGCCCCTCAGCTGCTCATACAGCTTCCACTGCTGACTGGTAAGAGCTGGCACAGCTGCCTCAAAGGTCTCTTCAAGATTATGGTAGAAAAGAAACACAACAGAACCAGGTGGAGAAAAAAACCAAACCACCCCAAACATTTATTACAATAAGCATGTACATGTTTAAATTATTGTATGAGCTGTAGGTGAAACCTCAGTGGTGAAAAGTGCTGCAGTACATCCTGCTGCTGCTGCAAGGAAGGGAGTACTCTTGCTTTCAAGCAATGCTGACAGGCCTCCGGCAATCTCACTAGTTATTAACTAATTACTTAGATTTGTGGGACTTTCTTTAGAGGTGGTAATAGTCTAAAACTGAGTTTCTAAATGCCTCCCAGCTGGTTATAAACAGGTGACAGTTGTCTTAAGGAAAAGAACTGAACACAGTTCAGCATGAATCTGTGCCACTGCTGGACTGTGTGCAATCTGGGTGTCTCTCTTGAGGTTGTGCTACACCAGAAACTTATTCTAACAGTAGACTCTATAAAAACCAGCAACTCTCTCCCTGCAGCCTGGGGTTTATAGCATCTGGGCCTTATGCAGGTGTGCCCTTGTCTTCTTTAGTCCTGGACAGAAATGGTAATAACTCATCCTACTCTTCCGAATTTTGCCAGCTATGACAAAATATGTACAGACTTTAGGTTAGCTGGGCGGTGTGAGGATACATCCAGCCTCAGGCTATACTCTGATGGACACGTACCAGATGGGAGGAGGTCAGATACCTGGATGGAACTAGGAGGCAGATGACAGCAGGATGGTTGTGTTGCCACCCAGCTTTTGTTACTGCCTATTTAAAACTACCAATTTCTGATCTGAGTAGTAGGAAAGTAGTGAATCAGAGAACCAGGGTGGTGAGGTTAATATAAAACAAAGGAAATTGTAGGTGGCTTCCAATAGCTTCTTTGCACACTATCTAATACAAACACTAAATGAGGAAATACAGCTCTGACCTTTGCCTTCTGTACTCCAAGAATTTGATAAAGTTTGTGTATAACTAAACTGCACAAGTTCCTAGATATTACAAACCTTAACTGTAGGAGAAATTCAGGCTTCTCCCTGCTACCTTTAAGCTCTGGAGTAAAGCAGGTGGCTGGGAAGGAGCATTAGCACTGCAACACAGTAGGCAGAGTTCAAGGGACTGGAGGACTGTGCTCAAACAGAGGGCAGTGATGCTGCAGCAGTTCTTGTGCTCACTGCCTCAAAACAAGGCATGGCACCCACCACTGTGCACACAAGCATCTTTCCTGACTGCATAAGAATTCAGTTTTTAAATATAATTCAGGCTGTGTATTTTACAATTTGTTGCTAGATGTAAAAATACCCCAGGAATAAAGCACTAAAAAAGTACCCTGTTGCTGATTTTTTTTAGCCACTAACTTGGCCAAAGTGTTTCCTCCTTCTCTCAACTCCATCGCCATGTGTTAAAAAAGCATCACAAATAACATAAAATTGTTATTGCTCCCTTTGCACAGACAGGAGGGAACAGAGCTGGAGCTGCAACTACCCACCCAAAGTGCAACGTTTCGCTGCAGGACTCGACACCTGCCTGGGATCCAGCGCTTGGAGTCACACTGTTAGGACACACTGCTCAGCTAGTGGGTGGCAGCCATTGTACTCCTCTAGGTGAGGGTTATCCAGGTCACCCCTGTTGCTGTGCTCGCTGGAGTCGGGCTGGCCCCACGGGGGACCAGCAGTCCTCACGCACACGCAGTGACTCCCCCTTGAACCAGGCTGGTACAGCTTCCGGGGCACTCCAGTCCAGTCTCTGTTCACTCCTCCACTAAGAATGGAAAATTAAAATAAGTTACAATTCAAACCCATGAAAATGCTTCCAGCAAACAGGATCATTAGATAAAAAACCAAGACAATCTGGGAGAGGTAGAACTAACAATACACTCACTGAGGTAGACTTTGCTCCCAACATCCCACAGCTTTCTGATACCTTTTTATGGGCTGTGATTCAGAAAACTGTGGCCTGAACCTGGTTTTATTGGTGCTGCTACATGCTCACCCTTCTGGGAGCAACCAACTTCTGCTTCCCACATTTCTATGGCTGGAAAAGGAATCATAGCCTTATGTAGCACAGCATGTCTAATGGCAAAATGCCTTTTCTTGGGGTAGCTAATTGCTCACAGATAACCACACGCCTTCCTCTGCGCCGTGACTGAACACAGGGATTGTGAGAAATAGGGCAAAAGGAAAAAAAAAAACAAAAAAAAAAAGTCTCAAGTTCCGCAGCTACTTCACAGTGTCTCTTTATGGGCCAAATCCTGCCTGTTCCCTGAACTACTGCATCTTTTAAGCCTGTAAACTCATTACACAAGAGACTGCCACCCAGCACCCAGTCCCAAGGCTGCACCCCAGCTCACCTGCGCATAGAAGCGGATCCCCCAAAGTACGCGGTGCTACTGGTGTACTGAAATGAAGCCTAAGCATTGTGCAATGTCATCTTACAACAAAACAGTCCCTAAACTGAGAGAGGAACACAACTAAATAGGCCAAGTAGGAAATGACTGTTAAAAGCTCTGCCTCATTTTGATGTGGTTTTAAGTGAAAACTGTTGCGGCAGCAGCCTGTGAGACAGGCTGTGAAACTGTTCGGAAAACATGAGCTAATCCTTTGCATCCTTGATAGGGGAGAAAACCTGCTCGAATGCCATGGATGGTTCTACTGGGATTTCTGTCCCCTTTTCCTGAGAACAGGAAGATCACGTGCGGCAACTGCTGAAACCTGATTTAGATTCCAGTGGGACAGAAGAGTTTTTGCCTTTGAAATAAAATTCCTAAAAGCATCAGTGACCAGGATGAAACTTTATTTTCCTTTTACCACTCGCCATGTCAGTAAGCAGAGCTCCCTTCTGCTACCTGACACTAGAGAACGTTCACTAGCCCAACCTACACCTCTGTGCAAAGGGGAAGGGACCGTGCCTGGTGTATTCCAGCTGTGCCAGCACTCAGCACATTAGGACCAACCTACACCCTTCTGTGGAGAAATCATCAGGCCTCAGCTACAGACTATGGACTGCAGTGGCTGCAGGAGCCAGAACATCTTCCTATGCCACTCCTGCTAGGAGAGGCAATGACAAAGCACAGGGGGTCCAAAAAAAAAGGGCAAAATGTTCTGCTCCAAACAGTCCAAGCATGATGGCAGGAAGGCTGAGTTTACCTCTCTCTGGAGCACCAGAATCGGCCGCCCCCAGCAGAGCTCCATTCAGAGTTGCAGGGTGGAAACTGCTGCTTCCTCTGCTCGTTTTCTGCTTGGAACTTCAGAGCTTCCTCAATTGCAGCCTCAGCCTGCCTTAAGGCCTCTGTCGGTGACCCATTTTCATCATAGAATCTGCCCACCAGCTTCCCTGGGAGAGAAGAAGATCAATTAAGACCGCAGTGTTTCCAGGCAAGGAGAATTAATAGTTCCATGGGTTGGGGTTTTTTTGTGTTTGTTTGTTTGGTTGGTTGGTTTTTTTTGTGTTTTTTTTTTGTTATTTAAAGACAAAAAAAGGAGGCTCTTGCCATGGCCCAATTCTGAATCTGAACTGAGCTTACATCATTTCCATTCTTGGATCACACAGCAATTCACCCACATGAATAAACTGACACAGGACAAGCTCAGGCAGAGCCTCATTAAAGATCCTAAAGCCAATGGCACTTCCAGCTGCAGAACCCAGGAACCTTTCACAAACATGCACCTCCTTCCCCAGAAAAGTTTCCTGCACCGCTGCTCCTACAGTCTCCTGGGTCCTGTGAATTCCAGCCCTTGCTCCATGCCTTTTGCTGAGCAGAGGTGGCTACAAGCAGGGCAGAGAGCTGCAGCTGACAGCCCAGGGCAGGAACACTCTGAAGCTTCACCTTAGAGGAAAGCAGAACTCAAGTTCTGAGTCTGGTTGAGCAGCAGCTCCAGGAGATCACTGGCAGGGTTCAGTCTGCAGGTCCCCAGCAGCCGGCACAGGTGGAAGAACCTCACCAAGGTGACATGTTGATGGTAGATGATGGTCCCTGGCACCGGGGAGATGACACCTGGTGCTA